TTACAAGACAATTGTTAAGCCACCTCAGTGTGCACTGTTAACCATTGGTTCATCTTCCCCTTTGATAAATAGTTTTGAGCAGCCTATTGAAAGGTAAGAAAACTTGTTTATTGGCACAGCAGAAATTTTTACTATCATCGTTGCAGAAATTTTTTATCATAGCTTGTCATCAAGAGTATTACTGTTATTTATAGGATCTCTGCCACCCTTTGCATTGACAATTTTGCCATTTCTGAAGAACATGCGGCTCGATTTCTAGAAACATTTGGTAGCTTCGTTGAAGATCCGTGGCTCTTGCTTTAGAAGTGTCATTTATGACGACATTTTTGCTGTTTCTGTTTTCGAACTTTGAGAAGATTCATCAGTTTGACCGCTAACCAAATTCCGCATTTTAAATTCAAGACTCTTTAATGGCTTGCAATACGAGATTATCAGTTTTCGACTTTTTTGAATGTTTGAGGGTCTAATCAGTACCCTAACAAGCATGTTAGTTAGAAAATATCTAGTCTTTATGTCATCCATAAATGTGCATTTTTTTGCTTCCAATAAATGTTTATTTGTTTGAAATACTTTCTTTTGGAGTTTTTTTTCAGTTCCTATAGAGAAATTCAAATTTTCTGGTTCACTTTGCCCACCATCTTATTACTCTATGAAGACTCATTTTTCGCGTCATATTCTCACAATCAGGATTTGCGTTTATGCATAGAAGCGATTTGCTGAATGTATCGATTTACACTTGATTGAAATTAATTTTTGACTGCTGTGGTTAAAACAACGAGTTACTATTTGAAGAATAAGTCGTGATTTTGATGACGAGTTAATTACCTTGGCTAGAGGTCACGTACTTATGTCAGTCGTCATAGGTGTTTTTGAGCTACAGTCTTTTTCTAGTGTTGCTAATAAGAATTTGTAAAGTTTTAATAATGTTTCTCCATAGTGCAGAAATATAATATGAAAAATTCTGCCTGGTTGTGTAAAGTCCTTCTAGCCTTATAGTTGTTAGTCTCGATGTCTGTTACATAAGAGAACGTCTATCATCCAGGATTAGCTGACACTGCTATTGCTCTGGATAGCAATTGTATTTTTAGTTTTTGTTCTGATTTCTCAAAGGAGCAATGCATCGCATATTATTCCTTGAAAACAAATGGGAGAATGCTGTCATTGTAATGCTTCCAAAGTGCACTGATAATTATGATAACACTTTGGAAAAGAAAGGAATTCAAAATTTGACGTACTATCACAGAGCTGCCTTAGAAATGCGAGCGAAAAAATCATTTAGTCAAAGTTGAAAGACTTTGTCATCTGGTTCAGATCCAACGGGACAGTGCAGAAATATATTAAGTATCGAAGAAGGAAATATCTTTACGCAAACACAAAAGAACGAAATATTACCAAATAAGCAGTGGGAGAAACCGGGTGTTAACCCAGTAGTACTACGAATTCTGTCGTTGCTTCAGCTGTTAACATCATACACTATACAATTCTAAAAAAACTTCCTTAAAAGTTTTGTAATATTGCATTTAAATGTATCCACACATGCAGTAAAAATAAAATGGGGCACCATCAAATATGTTCAAAACAATTCGCGAATTCTGTAACAATAATTTCTGATGCTGAAACGTTAGAATTTAACGAAATAGGGTTTTCTTTCGCAGATTTCAAAGATCCTTGCTCATAGCGTGCAAAGTTAGCTTCCGGTTTTGAATGTTTCAGCAAAGGTGACTACGTCCAAGAACCTTCACGAAAATGTGCATAAGAAATAATAATCACTATAATAAATTCGCAGTACTGTCATAACCGTGGATATAGAACGCTCCTAATTCACCCGGAAAGTTGTCGAAGGTAC